ATGCAACTACAGTTAACAAATGTTGCTTAACAACATTTGAAGTCTATTTTCTGACTGACAAAGGATATAAAAACACAATACTCAGTATACTTTGTCAGCAAACAGAAAACTGCTCATATATCGATGGTGAATTCCAAAAACTAACTAAAAATCATTCACAGGTAATAAACACAGGAGAACGAACTCATCAGAAAAGAATGAGTGTTGTGCTTTTTAATGGAATGAATAAATTACCAAGCACTTTAAAGTATAGTATCTTTTACCTGCATGTAGCATTGGGATTAGCATTTCTTGTGAGAGGCAGTTCTCCACACTTTAAAATCTGCTCTTCTGAAGCACAAGCAGTGCACACAGCCATTAACACTGTATAGTGATCTAAATAAAAATTATAGGAACAAGTTGATACAAAAATCAACTTTGAAGAATAAGACACTGATAACCAGACTAAACAAATCACAAATAACTTATCACACACACCACATTGTAGAAATTGTAAAATTACCTTTTAAAAAAATCCCAGAAATATAAGAAAATTTAAAACTGCTCAATAGTCTTACTTTGATTGCATGAATGTTAATAATTACTTTAATTAGGTTAATAAGTTATAACTACAGCTCTGCTAAAATAATTGCAGTTAAAGACGACACACAAACCCTGTTACAACACTGGCTGAATTCCTGTTTCGGGGAAGCTTCTTGGGACGGAGGAACAATGTACAAAAACGGCCACCAATTATCCTAGTTGTGCTGGGGGGGCGGGGGTCTGGTCCTAGGCCTTAAGTTCTAAATGTTCTAAAGCTGACCATACTTGTTGCTCATAGGCATTAAAGAGCCAAAAAAAAAACATACGTACTTTGGTCCTGTGAATAGACCTTTCATGTTCGATAAAAATGAAAGCACCAAACCCTTCGACTTCTGCACACAAAGAGAATCTGACACTCACCACCTATTTCCTGAAATTATACACAGTCAAAAATAACCTGCAATGAACCCCCATTCCTCCCTTTGGTTCCCATGGATAAAGCAACACATATTCCAAGGTGCCTTTACAGCAGTAACAGGAAAGCGTTAATTCTGTTTTAATGTACCTTTTGCCTCTACTATCTGGGTAGGAAATCCTTTCTTATCTACAAAAGAGGGCAATATCTCCTTATTTAGAACAGAGGGCAGTAAACATTTTGCTATGTTAACCATCTGAAGTAAATACAGTGGGGTCTTGACTTGAGAACTTAATCCATATTGGAAGGTGGTTCTCAAGTCAAAAAGTTCTCAGGTCAAATCTGCATTTCCCATAGGAATGCATTGAGAACCATTTGATCCGTATCTGCTCTTTTCCGTCCATAGAAACTAATGGGAAGCTACTATTCCGCCTTTGACCACTAGAGGGGGATATTTTGGCTCCAGATCTCTGGAAAAGTCTTGGGTTCTTTAACTTCCTTTGTTGTTTTAAATATTGATACGTTACGGAGAACCAAAAACTAGACTCCGATGCATGCAGGTGAAGGAATGGCACAGGAGATTTCCTGTGGAAAGTGCAAGGGATGAAGCTGGGGAGTTGGCAATACGACCTCCGAGACCGTTGGCAAAATGCAAGGTCTTCTGACAAGTCTTCATTTGATCTGCCACCCCTAACACAGGGTGAGTGATGGAGACAGAACAGAAGGATGTCAGAAAACACAGGGGAAAAAGCCATTCGGAAAGGACAACACATAATTTAAAAAAAGAAAAGAACCGAGCATCTAGCAGCCCTTCCACCTTCCAATTCTCCATTCTTTGCAGCAAGTTCTAAAACAAATGAACGAATCCAACACCTGCCGACATGGAAAGGGGTCTTTCAGTGAGAAGTTCTGCAGCTATAACATTCCCCTCCAAATCAAGAACAAAAGGACTCCCACCTGACCCCCAACCAGTCCTCTTTTGCCACATTTTAAACCAAACAGGCTTAAGTACATATATGAAAATCAATTTCTTCTTCTTGTATGTGTTTACCTTTTAATGGAAATGCTGCTTCCCATATTTTCACTTCATTTTTGTTCCATCCAACTATGCATGCACTAAATCCTGGTAGTGCAATCAGGACCAGTTTGTTTAATATGTTAGTTGAATTGGAAATCTTGTCCTGCTGTTTTCATCACTGCCCAGTCTTGCAAAGCAAACTAGTCTGAGAGTTTGTAATACAACCCATGGTTTGGTTTGAAACAAGAAAACAAGAGTAATGGAAGTTGTTGCTTTGTTGAAGAGTTTTTGCTAAGGGTGAGTAGCAAAGGTAAAGGAACTGGTTTGGCTCGACTGCTATGATATGATGTCCTGCTAAATTGCAGGTAATGAAGTGCAATGGTAATAGGGGGGTTTGAAGCCTGAGAGCTCTTTAAGAAGTGGTTTCATGGAGGCCCAGCCATGGAGTGAGTTTTGGAGGTAAGGAGGGCTTGAAAGGAAGGTGTTGTGAGTGTTATGGGCTGAGTGGATGGAGTAAATCCAAGCGTGTTTGCCTGTTTTGAGAGTTGTTGTGAATCCTTGGTATTGCATGTCAATGCAAGAAGTGAGTGGAAGTGAAATTGCGTTTGTATTCTAATCTGTAAGGAAAGACTGGTAGGGTTTTAAAGAAAAGTGAAAAGTGTTAGGTGTTGTTTTTTTTGGTTTCCAAGCTTGGTGTGTCTGAAAAGGTGAAAGTCGTGATTGAAGAATTGTTTGAGAAGCTGTTTGAAGTAAGGGTTGAATGGACAGGCTGAGCCGGTCCCTGTGCCAGGCCCTCCAGCCCCCAAGGCAAGGCCTGGGGGAACCCAGATCCTGTACATACCCTGAGAGGTTTACAGTAGTGGAGGGGGGGTGTTGGTGTTGTGCCTGGGCTGAGGGCCCCAGGCAGGCTGGCAATGGAGACACAGAGGGAGGGTTTCTTAGGGTACCCCCTCTGCTCCTTTCCTGGCTCTGAAGGGGAAGGGGTTTCATCAGGCTCTTCCTGAGCCCCCCCCTCCCTTCTCCAGGTTGAAGGAGAGTTATGGGACCCCCATTGAATCCTGCAAACGCTCCCTTATTAGGCCAGCCAGAGAGCCCCTGTTTAAAGCAAACCATCAGGATTTCTGCCCTGGTGCTTCACCAGTCAGCCCGCAACCAGCACCTCATGCAGAAGGCTGCCACAGCAGCAGAGACAGGCTTAAAAAGGTAAACAAAGGCAAACCTGGCCCCTGACAGGGCAGAGAGAGAGTGGCTGGTACCAGCATGGCTTTGCTTTCTTCCAGGACCACAAAGAGGATGATGACCAAAAAAAAAAACCCCACCCCATGGCAGACCCTGAAGCACAGCAGGTGACCCTAAGGTTATGACGAGGGTTTCCGGAGGGATAGAGGAAGCAAGTCAGGGCTTTTCTTCAGTTGCCTATTTGTTGTTGGGTTTTTTTTGTGGACGTTCATGACAGTGGCGATTTCCCATGACCCTCAGCGGTTCATATCCACATTAATGAGCTGATTTGCATGAACCTATCAGAGGACTGGAGGGGCGGAGTGAGCAGCTTCCTCAGGAGGCCAGGAGGAGAGGCCAGAAGCCGCGGGGAGGAAGAGGAGGAGGAAGGGAGACACGTTGCCCTCCAGGATTCGACCCGGCTCGAGAAAGAAGCCCATGGGCCTCGTTTCCTCTGGGGAATCCACACTGGAGGAAGAGGAGGAAGGGAGACATGTTGCCCTCCAGGATCCGACCCGGCTCGAGAAAGAAGCCCAGGGGCCTCGTTTCCTCTGGGGAATCCACGCTCCTTCTCCCGCCTCTGTTCCTTTTTTTAATTCACCCCCTGCCTGAAACTGAAGATTTCTTCCTTCTCCACATGAAAAAAATTATCTGGGGCAGCGTGGGAGGGCAAGGCCAAGGGGGGGGGGCTAATTCTGTTTCAGGAAGAGGAGATAAACGGTGAAACCCCTTCTCCCTGGCCAGCAGGTTTGAGCAGATCCTCCTTGGAAAATAGAGAAAAGGGAATGTTCAATGCCAATTTTTTCCGTCGGGATTTCCCAGGGAACGCTGTCCTTTGGGAATGGCGGCGCTCAGCATGGGTTTTGGGGATTCCCTCTAAGAGGCCACCCAAGAAACAGCCTTCCCCCGCCCTCCTGCCTGAGCGCCGGCCCCATTTTTGGCCAGCTGATCAGCGGCTCCAAAATGGCAGGCGCAACCATTTTCGCGCAATTTCCTCGCTTACCGAGGGCGCGAAAATGGCGGCGCTATGGAGCAACTTTGCTGAACGGTGAGTTTGGGGCCTATTGGAACGCATTAAGCAAAGTTTAATGCGCTCCAATGGGTTTTTCTATTCCGTACAGTGATGTTTCACCATAGCAACCGTTAATCCGGAACGGATTAACCTCGCTATGCGAGGCACCACTGTATTTTGTTTTAGTCCCGTTCTCCGGTCCTTTATGATTATCTAGAATCCTAATTCTATTTTCTAAAATATTAGCAAGTCTTCCCCATTTGGTGTCACCTATAGACCTCATGAGGATCCCTCCTACTTTTTTATCCAAGATATTTAGAATGGCATTGGACAACATTGGGCCCAGGGAAAAACTGTATAGTTCTTATCATCGAAAGTGCAAGCACTACTGTTCCCACAGAGGAGTCAGCTAGCACTCACATGGAGATGCATTCGTAGGCCATTGGCCCAGGATTCTAACTCACCTGTTCCCACCATTTCCACTCCTCCACAAAGTAGTAGTAATATGTACACACAACAGTTTAAAAATGTGTTATCTCTAAAAAATAGGCCATATTATGTTTTTTAAAAGGCACTATTTCCATTCTCTTTCTCTTTTCATCTCAGAATAAACAACTGAGAGGAGCTCAGCCTCTAAACTCAGGAAAGAATGAGCTGTTTCTAACAGAAGCAGCCACGAGGAGGGGCCTTGTTTCCAACCTCCGTCTAGCGCGGAGAGTCTCTTGGGACTGCTCTGCTTCCATGCCTGCCTGCCTGCCTGAACGGTCGGTCGGTCGGTGGAGGGCAGTGCCTGTGAGCGGGGGGGGGAAGCTCCCGTTTGTGCGGAGGCCCTCCTGGCCGCCCCCAAAGCCTGGTTAGGGGGTGGGGGAAGGAGGTGTCCTGGCCCTGAGCCAGAGGGTAGGAGGGGGTGGGTATCCAGAGCACATCCCATGGACCTTGGGCAGAGCAACAGACAATGATTAACCACACCACTTCCTCTCTAACGCGGAGGGTCTCTGGGGCCCTTGGGCAGAGCGACATCCCTGCCAGATTCCTTGTGTACCAGACAGTATGTGGTTTGGGTTTTTTTTTTAATTTTCAGGTTTTTTAAAATTATCTTTGAGGACTTTGAGGGGGAAGAGCTTTCTAAGACACCCTTTCCTTAATTAGCATGTGGGAACAGTTACCATCCTACTGTGTTTCCCTCTTGCCCTGTGTGAATCTGTGCCATTGTGACCTCACAGATCAAGGGCATGAAGTCATAGCTTCACAAGATATATGTGCTCTGTTTCTCATCGTTCAGTGAAAAGTCTCATCATGTCAAGCAATGAAAGTAATTCTGACATCGACAGCATTGGAGAAAGGTAGCAGCCTTACAATACCATTAATATCACCATTAATATCACATGTTCTTCATGCATCTTCATCTGTTGGAAGCGCCCATCATGGCGCCAGGTAATCCCATTCATTTATTTTATTTTATTTATACAAGTTTTGCAGGGAGGGGATTGTTTTTTGGGCGTTCTCTTTGCCATTAGAGTGGTATCATCTGCATATCCGGCAATCTTAATTCCGGCTTGGGATTCCTCCAGTCCAGCCTTCCACATGATGTATTCTGCATATAAATTAAATAAGCCGGGGACAATATACTAAGATAGATAAATACCATTCTAAAAGAAGTAAAAACGACACCAAAACACATTGAAAGCAATAAGCTACAACAATCCATTTAAAAACTCCACTTAGGCAACCAATCATTGAGGGAAAGCTTGCCTGAAGAGAAATGTATTTGCCTGCTTGTGGAAGGACAGCAAAGATTCCTAGCCTCCTGTGGGAGGGAGTTCCAAAGGCTGGGATCAGCAGAGAAGACCATCTCCCATGTCCCCAGCAAATGCACCTGTGAAGGTGGTGGGACCGAGAGAAAGGCCTCTTCTGGTGATCTTAACACTTGAGCAGGCTCATAAAGGGAGATGCGGTCCTTGAGATAGCTTGGACCCAAGCCATTGAGGGCGTTATAGGTTAGAACCAGCACTTTAAATTGTGCCCAGAAATGGGCAGCCAGCCAATGGGGCTGTTGCAAATCTTCTTGGAAATATGGGATGGGTGGGTGGATGGGTGGACAGTGGAGGCCACCAACAGTGTGTGCATTTGTTAAAATATGACTTGCATCGGTAGACTGTATTGGCAGATGAATCAGTGGACTTTTTGAATCTGTGAGACAAACTAGCCTAGCCCTGCCTTCTCTGACCTGATTGCCTGGGTTGGGTTACAGTTCTCTTCGTCACCAGCCATTGGCCATGCAGGAAGGAGATGATGGGGTTTGTGACCCAAGATATGGAAGGTGGTCAACAAGCTGAGGAAAGTTGGACTAGTGAGACAGTACAGCAACCATCCAGACAAAACAAAAGCAGGACATCAAAAATGACAACATCTGCTCCTTCTTAGAAACATCTCCTTATCTCATCTCAAGCCAGACGTGGCTGTCCACTGTAGCTGCTTCCACCAGCAACAAGAGACAGCTGGTATTCTTCTCTGTGGAACCTTTCCAATTACTGTACACTGGCCTTAATAAAGTGTAGAGCAGTGGTCTCAAACATGCGGCCCGGGGGCCATTTGCGGCCCCCCAGATGATAGTTTGTGGTCCTGGCTTTGTCTGCCCCCCCAAAGCGCCCAAACATCCTCTGCTGTCAAGAGTAAAAAAAAAGCCTTGCTTCGCTCGCCGGCTCTCTCCCAAGACAGCACCTCTTGCACCCTCCATCCAGAACTGCAGCTTGCCAGCCAGCCCACCTGTCCGTCGGCTAAGGAAACTCCTGGGCGGCTTCCTCGGGCTCTTGCTCTGCTTGGCGGAAAATCTGATGCGGCCCAGCCTCACCCAGACTCTGCCTGTAGTGGCTCCCAGGAAAATTGAGTTTAAAACCCCTGGTGTAGATTGAACTTTCCTGACCTCGTCTTCTGAAAGGCCTGTGGCTTCTCCATATTCCTGGGGTTTGTTTCCAACCGCCGAGCTCAGCGCTCCCTCTAGCGCGGCGGGGCCCTTGGGGCTGCCCCCGTTCCA